ATCCACTTTAAAATAATCTAGTTGCTACTAAGAAAAATGTTTAACCTAATTCATTGCGTTAAACTTTAAAGTTTGTATATTTAGGGAAGCTTAAAAAGATATATTTTTAAAATTGTTTCCCAAGGAAGCTAGTATCTAGACCTTAAGCATTGGAGCTTATTAATAACTTTGTACCTTGGCAGGATTAACTACAATTGCTAATTGATATATTTATAAAATCGCTGGCGTCATTCTAAAAGTATTTTAATATATAGGCCTTAAGACGTAAAGTTAACGGCTCAGACTTTAGCTACATCTACAGAACTTGCAAAAATTATAATAGATTAGAGGTATGAAGACCAAGATGGTGTAGCTGTTTGTTTGATCACAGTCTCTTTTCGTTGTATAGGAGTTGTCTGACCTTGTTTTCGCAACTTGGTCATTGATAGGAAGACTTAGAGGAACTCAATGTTTTAAAATTCTATTGTATGAATGATCATTTCCAAAGTATGACTGTGGACGTGGTACATTCCCAGACGTTTCACCTGCATCGATAATGAGTTTTGACATTCTAAGCACCACACAACCCAACACCACAAGCCGATCCTTTGACCAAACTTGTACTAAACAGTTGTGGTATCGTCCCTTCTGCCCTGGGATATTCACATTTCATATATCTACATATCACACCTTTACCGTTACAATTTTTACCGTACTTATTTCTTTTGAAAATTTGACCATATGCTGTACAACTAAATTGTGTGTATACACTAAATACTAGCAAAAAATCAGTCACATCATTTATTTTGAAAACACTTTTAACTGTTGCTTGATTAATGGCAGAATTAGCTATTATTGTGAGAATATGGTGCTAAAAATCAAAACTAAGTTACCAGAAAGAATTATAATTCATTAATGTTTTCAGAAAATATTGGTTTTAATCTGATAATACTTACTGTAATTCAACTATTCATGCGTTCGAAATAAAACAAAACGGTTTGTAAAATATTGAAAGAACTGTGGAAAAATATATAAAAAAAGCAATTTCATAGCAACATAAACCTTAATATTAATTAAATTGTCGTAGTAATGATTGTGTCTTTTAAGCCAAATATGCAAGCATAATTTTTGCAAATAAATATATACTTTGATAATGGATAGCTAAACATAACTGTAATGATCTTTACATTTGAATAAATAAAAGCCAAATTCTAGTAGCCACTTTATGCTCGTTGATTAGCCTGAAAGGCAAGAAGAGCTTTCATTCGGATGATTAAATGCATTCTGTAAAATAAAACTGCTCAATAGTAAGATATCTTCTGCATAAAATATTAAGTATATCAATTTGCGTCTTGGTTAGCATTTACCTTTTGGCTTGTAACATATTTATTTGTGAAATAATTTCTTTAGAATTGCAAACATCGCGCGATGACACAGAATAAATAATTTTTAAATTTATCCAATTTTGATCAGAGCCTTTAGGCTTAAATATTCAATCAAGATTACGTAAAATTTTCAGTTTGCATACTCACGTTAATCCAGAATACTTTGCAATTTGAAACTGCTAAACCGATTTATTATATGAAGCTACTTTAAGTGTAATTTAGTTGAGCAATTTATTCTACTCTTTAGATTTTCATCATAAATATTAATTTCCTTCTTATATTCTGTCTCTTCTGGTTTTATATGAAGTGTAATTTAGATGAGTATGTACGAATATTTTCAGCAATTTATTCTACTCTTTAGATTTTCATTATAAATATTAATCTCTGCTTTATATCCAGTCTCTTCTGGTATTTAGGCGGAAAATACTCGCATTATGAATGGATGGATACCGTTATATATTAGCTTTCTCGTTAGATAAAACTCACAGATCTTAACGTCTCCCTTGGCCTCACGTCCTGGCGTTGATCTTAGCCTACAATAATATACTCCGTCCATCTGAGGTCGTGCGCTGCGAGAAGAGATAAAGCTGGTGAATCCACGATCTTTTCTAATGAACAATGCGCCAGGTCCGGAAACAGGAAGTGGCACTGGTGGAGAAAAACTGTCTCTTGGACTGAAGTACCACACGATGTCCTGAACGATACTTGAGTCCGAGGCGCCGGTGACTACACAATGCAGCTCGATTCCATCACCTTCTCGGGCATCAGTACTGGGCGGATTCACCGCCAAGTCAAGGATAGTAACTAAAGTCGGTAACAATTCCAGAAGTAGTTAAAATTATTATAAAAGGCTATTGAAAAGATAAATTTATTTAGCTCAATTTTTGGAATACATTTGTAATTATAAGATATATTATTAGCTAGTGATGATATATATGGATGGATTACATTATGGCGTTCTTTTATAGCATGATAGCTAAATGGAAAAGAAAGCCGTATAATCTTTTATTTTGTAATTTACTAAATGGTCCGATAAATTACACAGTGACAGTTAAAATGTAATAAAATCAATTAGTGAGGCTCTGAATATTATACTTCAGGATTAAGTGTTTTAATTATGATAAGTATATGTTTATCTCGCAGGTTAATAACTCATCTTTGAGTTAATTTCTAAATATTCGCAAAGGAATCAAAATTTATCTTGGGCATCAATTTTTCAATAGTTTCAGCCCTAAATTAAACATTACATTCCTACTACAGAAAAGGGATTTACGAAAAACATTTGTTTACTCATCAGAGGTTAGGAACTAGCAAATACAAATTTAGGCTTTAGTCGCAAGCAAAAGAAAATTTAAAGATTTAATTTAGATGAAAAAGCTAAGTTATGACTTTTCTTTAGCTGTCACGAAATCCTTAGGTTGTCTTGTGTTTATATTATGCTTGATTAATTTTTTTTAAAAGCATAGAAAACAGCATTACTGCCAAGATTTAGTGATAAAAAATTAACCACTATTCTCAATGAACAGCCTTAAGGTGTAGAGATTAAATCCACAATGACAAAGTTTAATTTGCAGATTCTATATCCAAGTTAATGTTTGGCCAAATAGCTTTATTCTTTTATAAAAACAAGCTTCTTTGTAGATTCACATTCTAGTGGCACTTAATTATCATCAGGTTGGAAAGAGGATTAAGGCCATCTCGATATTACTTTAACCCTATCTACAGCCTCAGGATTATAATATCCTGATATCTTTAAAACCAATCCTTCTTTAAAAATAAGTTACAATTGCCTAAGTAGAGTTCTTCACGTTGCTTAAGTAGTATGATAATAAAGATGAAATGTGAGTTTGCTAGAGACATTAAGATATGATAATGTTTCCAATATTGTCAAGAGTCAAGATGATTTTGGTATTCCATCAAAATTGTAATAATGCAGTTATTTAATAATAAACAAATAAGGTAGATTGGTATCTATTAAGTTTTGTGACTAAATCTATTTTGAAATCTCTTAATCTTTTGATGCACCCATTAGGGAATAAACGTTATAAACGTAATCAATTGCGCCAAATTAGTGAACAGACATGGTAAAGTGATGCATGGGTTAGTTTCAACATTTTATGTGTACAAACGTTTATTATGAGCACTCTCGAAAGTCTGTGGGTTTCTCATTATTTGTAGCAGATGAAAGACTTTATTTGTTTTATTTGCTTACTTTTTCGGTCAGTTACAGAATTAGATTATGGAAAACCTACTTCAATGGGACGGGCTAGTAACTAAAGTTTTAATTAATAATATGAACTATTACCAATTGGTTAATTAACAGTAACGAGAAACCTTTAACTAATGAATCTCTGAATCCATTTATAGTTCAAATTTTGAAAATAGGAAAGATTGCTTTTAAAGAAACAGCATTGAATTACTTTGCTAAAGCTGAAGCATCGCATAAATGAAATTAAGTAGCGCCTATGTATGAGAAAGCTTAGGAAAAATCCAGATAAACTGTACTTTAAACAGAGTTGTAAAGTTGCGCATATTAACAAATCTTTTATTGCTTGAATATTTAGCTTTAAACCACTTTATTCGTTGCTTAAGCTTAAACTGAACAATTGCCGTTTTATGTAACTAAGCCATATTATACCATAAGAATAAGTGAGAATTTTAATAAATAAAAAGTAAGAAGATTTTAATCTGGACGAGAAGCAGGTAATAGTACAGAATATTACTATTTGCATTTTATTACCCTTCTAACACACTCTAGAATGCTAGCAAAAGAAGGGATTTCAAGTGGCAACCACGGGTAAAGGCTGATATGTTTTCTTCAAATGCAAAAACTCGCTCAGAGAATGGATTTTGTAATTAGAAATTTTATTTTATCGTAAGAATTTGCTTTCAAATGTGAGAATTTGGTTGATATTATCTAGTTTTAGTATGTTAGTAGAGTGTCAAAATCTTGCATAATGTTTACAATAGAGTTTGAAATTCACAATTCACTATTCTTTAGTATAGACATTTTTGTGAAGGTTAGCAAACATTGTACATAAATTACTTATATATGTAGAAAATGATTATAACTAACTCAAATGATATATTTTTTCATTCTTCAAAATAAACGGGTTGCGTCAAGTCTTAAATGGGCTCAATAATAACTTACGTTCGACTCGCATTCTCACTAAGAACTTTTCTCCTTTGACAACGCAACTATACTCGCCCTCGTTATTGGGATTTATACGGTGCAAGGCCAATATTGAAACTTTCAGATGTTCATTGACTTCAACGTTTCCTGAGCGATTTACGACTGGGTGTTGTTCAATGGGAATATTGTTGAAATACCATCCAGAACGGTCTCCCTCATTGCCTTCACAATGCAGTTCTTTGGAATCCCCTTGGGAAACAATAAAGTCAGTGCCTTCGCCTCTCGTAAGGGCTAAATAAAAAAATGAGAGATACTTTAATTTAGTCAGTAGTATGAATAATTAAAAATGAGGAAAACTGGCGTGATTAAAAAGACATTTTACAATGTGATTTGAATAGAAGCATCTATTTGTCTAAGAGTTTGATTAGCTAGCCAA